GATATTTGGAGTTCTTGGATGTGGATCATCTGGGTGTGAATGAGGGACAGTGAGGATCAAGGGTGATTGCTGGCTTTTGGCTTGTATGGCTGACAAGCTGGCTTCCTTCACTGAGGCAGACATGCTGGCAAAGGACTGAGGTTGCTGTCTGCTTAACCTTTTACTGTGCTAAGCACGTTTGTGAGTCTCTCTTGTTCCTCCCATCTGTGGCCTGGGTCTGCCCATTATCACCAATTTACAAATGAGGAAATGAAGCTTGGAGAAGGAAAGTACCAAGTTCAAGGTCGCCTCTAAATGGCATACTCTGCCCTCTCCCGCCCCAAGGCCTGTGGGTGAATTCCTTGGACATCCCTTTCTCTGTGTTCTGGGGGGTGGGATATACATTTGCAAAATAAATGCACAGAGGGACTGGGACAGGAGTGAGAAGAGAGGGCATCGTGGCAAGGGCCTAGAGTTTTATCATTTCTGCTCTGAGTCAAGCCCAGAAGCTAGGCTTGGTTTGTTTAACACTCAGACGCAGTAAGGCTGTGAGATGCTACGGCAGCCATGCCTGGGAAGCCAGTACTCATTGCCCTGGGCAGATCTGCTAAAGGAGGCCCATCTCGGGCAGGGAAGCCAGTGGCCACGCCTGGGCCCAGGGATTGTCCTTGACACAGACTGTGAAGTGTTCCTGAGATGATATATAGGCTGGCTCTACCTCTGTCTCATAGGCTTTTTAAGATGCCACTTCCTTAATTTTCTGTATTGGAACCTGGGAACAAAGACCAAGTCCATAAGGGGAAAAGTTTTGTTATTCTCTTATTGATCTGAGATTTAATAGAGCAGCAATTATGTTTTATTTGAATTGGTGCATATTATCTTTTTGCAGCTGTGGCCTTGTAGGTAGTGCCCTGAGCCTCCTGCCAACCAGAGATGCTGTGGGTGTGTAAAGATGACCGAGAGATGGCAGGGCCTGACCACAGAGGCTGCTGGTGATGCTGCCACCTTCTCCGCCTCAAGTGGAAGAGGGGAAAGAAATTTCCACCCGGCCAACCACATGGTTTTGACACACTCTCTCCTAGTTCCTTTCCCTGCCCCCAGCAGCATAGGTGTTTAATCAGTCAGGCTTTACTTACGGAGGGCGTGTGCATGCTCATCCTTCAAAACCCCACTAACCTGCCATTCCTGCCATACAACCGAGCTGTCTGAATGAGCGCATAGTGCAACACTGACCACGAGGGGGGCCTGGCACTGCCCTGTCCATCTGCGTCCTGCCAGCACGGGGCTGTGTTCCGCATGGGTGCCACAGGTGATGGTTACGTGGATTAGGACCCAGAGTGTGGGTGAGAGTCAGATGGGGCGGGGCAGAGACAGGAGGTGGACTGGAGCGTGTTAGTCTGGTCAGCTGGAAGCAGGTGTTGTACTGGGGCATCAGGAACAGGCAGTTGGGGCCGATCAACTGAGTCCTGAGGGCCAAGACCGAGGGCAGGGTCCTCTGGCCTGGCACCGTCTAGCAGAAATTTCAGTGATGACAAAAATGTTTTATTTTTGTGCTATGCCCACCAGGCACGTGTGGCAATGGAGCACCTGAAATGTAGTCAGTGTGGCTGAGGAGCTGAGTTTTCCATTTTATTTAGTGTGTGATTAATTTTAATTTAAATAGCCACCTGTGGCTAGGGGCTACTGTGTTAGACCCACGCAGGCGTAGGTATCCTGACCCGTATCCCAGGGTCACCCATGTTTTCTCCTCTGCCCGTTCATCTGACAGCCATCAGT